CCCCCCCCCCCCCCCCCCTTTTTGTAAGTTAAACATGAATAAAAAAAATAAAAATAAAAAAACTACATAAATGAAGATTCTAAAATCTCCCTTAGCTGTTTGATTTGTTTCTCCAAAATTGTGTTGAACGTAATGGATGAACTCCGACCTAAAAGGCAAAAGCTCTCGAATTTGACAGGGAATTAATCACTTTATATAACTAAAGCTAACTATATTTTGTAGAAAGATAAATTGAAGTGATGAGCATACATCCATTTGACGTATCCGGAACTAGACTAAACAGTTTTCAATTAGCCCATTTGATCTGGAATTGGAAAATGATTCAAGACCACAGAAATCCATTCATGATCTCACAAATCTAACATTAATAATCATAACAGTATAAGATTAATCTTATGAAGAAGGAAAAGAGGATTCCCTATAATCAATATCGAGATTATTGCATTTTTGCATAGTTGATCACAAGTAGTGCAACCTGTGGACTGATTATAGTACTTGGAAAGTAGACATGTCTTATTTCAACTAATACAGGATCATCACATATAAACACCGCCCCTAACACACTAATTCCGGGTAACATAACGTTGAATCACATAGAATGATTATTGGTGTCGCCAATTGGATAATAGCTTTACTTATAAATTCATAATAAATATCTTGTCTGTTCAACATGACCACATCCTGATATTCAACAGGAAGAAAACCACATTTCAAATAAAGAATCTCATAATATATAGCTAGAATTTATTAAAAAAAAAAATAGAGAAAATTATCTCCAAAGTTTCGATAAAGATCACAACCTATGCCAAAGCCATGTGCTTTCTTCTTGAGTTATTAGACATTTAGTGTTTGACATTGATATAGAATGCTCTAAGTCTAGCATGTATATGTTGTCAATCCTTTTTCTTATAAATCTGATTTCTTTACTCATTTTATCACAAATCAAGCAACACTCTTAGTATTTGGGTAATTCGAGTAGTGCTTGTGGGAGTGGCTTGAATACCACCAAGGTCACTTCAAGCTCCCACCCTAGGGAATCCAACTAGCACATGCTTTAATTTCCTTATTACATGCTTTATAGCTTTGGTAGTATAACTGCTTAGGTTCTTATCTTACTTGTTTCGTTTTAGAAGGCTATAAGTTTCCTACTAGGGGGCCGTGCACACACACACCTAATTTTTGTGAAAATTTTTTTTTGTAAGAAAAGTGTCAAAAGGCTTAGTGATTTCTACTTGAAGAAGCTTAGTTTTTAAGTGATTCTTAGTAGTCCACCTCCCTTGATAGTTCACTTTGTACACTTAAGCCTTTTTACACCAATTTTACACCTTAAAACCTTTTTGTGAAAATCTTTTCATCACTTACTCTTTGTGAAAACCTTTTTGCCAACCTTTTTGAAACATATTTGTGAAAACCTTTTCTTGACCAAAGATGAGTGATCATTCTAGTGTACATGGTCATAATTCATATAATAGTAGGCCTAGTGTAAGGGATAAGCTTAGAGAGTTAAAGGAATATTTGAGAAAAAAAGATGAAGAAAATATAAAAAGTGAGGAAGAGCTTAAGAAAAGAGAAAAAGAAAATGCTATAAAAAATGAAGAAATAAAACAACTACTTGCAAGGTTAGTTGTGGGAGGGGAAGCTAGTGGATCAAGACCTAGATTTCCCCACCTAAGTCCTCAAAAGGCAAGGGGGTTAGAATACCTTCAAGTGTTCATGAGGAGGAAGGGCATCATACCCAACCTCCAAGTGATAGCTTCTATAGTAGTCATCACAATGATGATTACCATGAAAGACCCCCAAGGCAACCAAGACATAGGGAGTCTTCCAATAGGGAACCCAACATCACTCTTCCCCCATTTCATGGAAAAGACAATGTTGAAACTGATTTAGATTTGGAAATGAAAGTTGAACAATTATTTTATTGCCATGGAGTGAGTGAAGAGAGAAAGGTTTCTTTGGCAACCCTTAGCTTCCAAGGGCATGCCATGTATTGGTGGACCTCCCTAGAAAAAGAAAGGAGAATAAATCATGAGCCCCCAATCCAATATTGAAATGAGCTTTGTAGTGCCTTGAGAATGAGGCATATTCCTTCATACTATGACCTAGAACTCATGGATAAACTTCAAAGATTAAAATAAGGGTCATCTAGTGTGGAAGACTATAGGCAATCTATGGAGTTGCTAATGATGAGGGTTGGGATTAGGGAGGAAGAGAGGACCACGATCTCTAGATTTCAAAGTGGTCTTAATCTTGAGATAAGAGACAAAGTTGAACTTTTGCCTTATAGAGATTTAAATAAACTTGTTCAACTTTTCTCAACGGTGGAGCATCAACTAAAAAGAATACCTTTTCGAAAAGACTCCACTCCCTCTTATTCTAAGAGTTTTAAGAAGGAGGGCCACTCTCCCCAACATTATCCCAAAGAAGAAAAAGAAAAAGAAAAGAAAAATCATCTTTCAAAGCACATTCCCAAGAATCTAAGTCAAGTGAAATTAAGTGCTTCAAGTGTCTTGGAAGAGAACATATTGCTTTTCAATGTCCTACGAAGAAAACTATGGTTTTAAAATCCCAAGACCACTATAGTTGCCTTGATGAAGCTACTTCATCTTCCTCTAGTAGTGAAGATGAAGCCATAGATTCCGAGGAAGAAATCTTACCTTGTGAAGGAGAATTATTATTGGTTAGAAGGCTCATTAGCAATCAATCTAGTGAAATTGACCAATCTCAAAGAGAGAACTTGTTTCAAAAAAAATGCAAGGTCCTAGAAAACACTTGTTCTCTCATTGTAGATAGTGGGTCTACTTCTAATTGTTGTAGTACTAGATTGGTTGATAAGCTAGCCTTAACTACAAAACCTCATCCTAAACCTTACAAAATGCAATGGATCAATGAGGAAAGAGGTGTTGTAGTTAACCAACAAGCAAGCATACCAATCTCTATTGG